ACAGTGTCAAATAGGTGAAGAAGATGAAAACCTCTCTTGAAAGCATAGTTACGAAGGTTATTTAAAATAAAACAAAACAAAACCCTGAAATGTCAAAGACAACTGTAAGAGAAGGAGTTGGACTGTACTCAACATTGCATTGCCACTGGACTTCTTGAACCTGTGTCAAATGCCAGAAATAAATTTACCTTCAGCTGCAATTGAGGATTCCTTTTCTCCAGATAACATTGCAGCCAGACAAAAGCAGATCTGTCAACTTTACAGGTGGTAGCAACTAAAAAGTCATGGCCATTGAGGAGACAGGAGGCTGGACTTAAACCTCCAGGAAGATTTTTCAATAGGGATGCTCCCATTCTGAAGGAATGTGTCTATTTGTGCTACAATCATTCTGTGATATGTTGTCTGTGTTTTATATGACACTTTCAGAAATATATCAAAATACATCTGGTTTATCTTTTACTGAGTTCTGATGGATTATCAGAGGTACCTATGCCCACTGTATATATCTATATATATAAATAGATATAAATAATATAATACATATGTATACATGACTTTGGGATTTACCTTTTTCTTTTCTTTTTTTTTCTTCTTTTTTCTTTTTTTTCTTTTTTTCTTTTTTTTTTCTTTTTTTCTTTTTTTCTCTTTTTTTCTTCTATTTCTTCTTTTTTTTTTCCCCAGAGAAAAAGTAAATCTATTACAACAGCAGAAGGTAGCTTTCAATTCCAACATCCATGAGTTTCCAACCGACCAGTTTGTGGCCAAAAATGCCACAGTGTGAGAATCCATTTCATAACTAATTCTGAGCCACAAGAGGCCACCCAGCAGTGCCTGAGGTGATGTTCATCCCATGCTCAGAGTGGATACAAGTGCAGGCAGCTTTCAAGTTGCCTGTAGTTCAACACAATTAAGTGGAATTCAGTGGTACATAAACCACACCCAGGCTGCTGACACAGGACTAACATGTGCTCTGCACATAAAACACAAGCTTGCTGCTGAGCAGTGAAGAAAGTGATGGAAGAAAATACAGCAAAGAGCAGAAATGAGGACATTTCTAATTAATATGGTGGTTTATCAGCAATTTCACTTTAAGATACCAGCTCAACAGTCTCCAGAGTCAAGGCTTCTGCTTTCACTACTGAGCTGCTGTTTGGATGAGTGTTTGTTGAGTGTTCCCAATTTCATCCTGCCTGAAACAGGAGCCTCCATGGTTGGTAGCACTGAAAACACAAATTAAAACTTTGAAAAGTTATGTTGGTGGAAAATATTCACTCGTATTCCACAGCTTTGGTTTGGGTCAGGCTTCCTTTAACAGTCTCAATTTAACCTTTTGTATCCCAGATTTTCCATTCTCCATACTCTAAGGGGCACCATCACAGGTTCAGTGGGTTGCAGACTCGAAGGAGCCCAGATGATCAACATAACTGTACCACATGAGGAGGATGCTCCCAGGATCAGTATATCTTGCATCCTGCATGTCCATGAATAATTACCTCTGAATTAAACAGCTGATTGCTGGGAGCTGCACAGTCACACCACGGGCACTGAGATGGACTCAGCACCTCTGCTGAGGAGCAGAACTGCCTGGCAAAGGCCCACCCTACAGACACTGAGCCATTCCTGACACTAGAACTGTCTCAGTTAACTTTGTACAGCATCACTCTGGAACACAATTACATTTGTGTGATTATGAAATGGCAGAAAGGCCAAGGGTTTGCTGCTGATCCAATTTAGAGGTCAGCACCAGACTCCACTGCGGTCGACTTCGCACAGTCAGTCTAATGAGGCTGCTTTACCTTCAGAGCAATTTTTTAAGCAATAGAAATCCAATCTAGTGAAATAACTGTCACAGAAGGACGCAGTAAAGTGTTGGTGGCAGCATAAATGACCACTTAGGTCTGGAAGACCTCTTCACCTCTTCCTAGGTTTCCTGGGCTCAAAGTAAGTCACACATACTTTAAATCATTCATGTAAGGAACCCAAAGATTTTGAGTGTAACCCTCATTGTCATGTAAAAATAAAATAAAAATACCTACATCAAGAGGAACACCAGGGACTCAGCAGAAGCTGCTGCTTTCATCACATTTTAGCATTTCTAGAACAGGCTACTGGATCCCAGCCCAGGCTCTCTCTGAGCTCACCAGGGGCTGGGAAACCCAGTCCCCCCTGCCTTCGGGATCATAACAGCCCTTCTGCTCTTCAGAGTCCATATCCTCAGGAAGCCAGAGTTGTACCTTTGAGAATAAGAGGAGCTAATAAGGAGCCTCTACACAGGCTGTGAAATCAATGGGACCAGTGAGACACTGATGCAGGATTCTGCCATTGTAAAACCAGCTGCTTCTGTCTCCAGATCCAACCTGAGCTCTGTGACATCCCAGCTGCCTCACCTGAATTCAGGGCTAAACTCTCCATTCAACTGCTGCCTCGTATACAGCAGGCAAAGATCACAGAGCTAATAAAAAGTTACACATCCAGCAGCTGTACTGATATGGTTCCTATTAACTTCTCTCCCCTCTGCCCCCCAAAAGCCTTCTAACTCCTGGTTTCCTCTCAGCTCGCAGTGAATTGTGCTGACACAGGTAAAGAGGCAAATAGCAGCAACCATTTGCTCTCCTGCACTGATTCTGCCACAGAGAAGCACAAACAAAGTCTTCAAAAGGCCTGACCCAACCTCTGCCTGGAAAGCCAACCCCATTCTCACTAAGCACATAAGTAACACATGTCTGAAGAAAGGTCAAACATCTGTGGGTAAGACGTACATAATCCTCCACAAACCCACCAATTCATCATCCTCGAGCAGATAATATAGATATTTTACTATTAAGGATTTAATTTCTTGGTTCAGCCAGGAATTTACATTAGTTACTCCAGGAAACCCGGTGGGGGAGGGAATTGTGAAGGCAACAGCAGAAGCTGAATGTGCTTAAAGCACTTGTGTAAATCTCTGTACAAAGCCATACATCCTGAATGCTGGGGGAAGGCAACTGTGAGAGAGAGCATCTGGTTTGGGAGGAGCTGTAACACAATGAACTCTTTAAAGTGACAGCCCAAGTATGGCCAAGTGCATTGCTCAGATCAAGCCCACATGCTACTGCTGTTAGGAGACATGCTCCATGGAAAATGAAAATTAAACTGAACAGTTTGGCAGGGTGGAAATTTCGTGAAAATTTCTTACTTGTGTGCAATAAAGAAAATTAATTTGAACACGGGAGGAGAAAATAACTCAGAAAGTGATTTAATGGTCCTACAGGATGGTCTAAACCCTCAAAGCCTCCAAGATGGGAAGTTTTTAGCATTCCACCGCTCCAAAAAAATCACTTTCTTGGACTAAAGACCCCGGGTCACAAGTTATTAGGAAGCTGCAAGAAAAGGATGGCACTGCAGTAGTCTGGGTGCTGGGGAAAAAAATCTTTCTGTCACGTGTAGGCCAAAAGCAGCCACATACAAAAAGAGAAAACTGAATTTGGGGAGATACAGGCCTGCAGGAATAACCAAATGCTGTTTTTATCTGTGCTCAGGTAGGAGAGAAGGAATGAGGAGTGGTCACACGTTTGGGTTGGTGCTGTAGCCAGGCTTCACAAGGTATTTTTCTCAGCTTTCCTTGCATCATAAGAACAACAGGAACAACAAAGAGAACAACCAGGAAAGACTCAGCAAACATGGCACTGGGGCAGCAGAATGAGGTGTCATACAAAATAAATAAAGAGCAGTGAGCCAGAGCACATCAATAATGGAGGGCAGGGGAATGTCCAGGAGTGAGCCTCTGCAAGGCTTCTGCAATTAAGAAAAGAAAATCCTTTGACTTCGTGGCACATCTCCTGAGATGCATATCCCATGGCTACAATTAAAAATATTGTTTGGCTTACTTGACCCTTTCTGCACACACACCCTGAGCTTTTAAAGTATTTGTTTTTTAAGGTGAAAGGAAGAGATCATGATGGTAAAAGAGGTCAGGTCTAGAACTGAACTGAACTGGAAGTTGCTGCTGGCAAATTTCACTTAACTTTTTTTTTCTGAACTGCTAACTTGACTGTTAAAAAAAAAAAAAAAGACAAAATGATTTTCTTTCAAGGCCAGATTCATAGTGGCTTTTCCCTTCTGTTTATCAGCAGATTTAATTTTAGCAATTTGATTTAATTAAAATCAGTCTACACATCTTTTCAGCTTAACACCTTCAAATGTTGAGAACACAGATGTACACCCAAGGACCAGGAGGGCTCTCAAGATGGAGCCTAAATGCTCTCACAGCTACTTACACTCATGCCCTGCCTTTTCCAACCTTGGCCACAAACTTTGCAAGACTATCACAAGTCAGTGAGAAGCCACAGGCAACCATTTAGTGAAAAACAGCAATATACCCCTGGTTTTCTCTCTCTATCACTCAGTGACCTACAGCACTGGCAGCAATGTGTGTAAAACCACATCTCTGACACAGTGCTGTGTGTTTCCTACAGCCTTCCATGCAATTCTACACAAACTACTTGAATACATGAATTTATTTATATCTGCAGTTGGTATAAATCAACCTGGCTTCAATAGAGCTAATAGAACTATACTGATTTATGCCAGCATACATTTTAATTTAAAAAAAAGTTTACTGATGCAGAGGCTGTTGATTTTTTTCCCTTTCTGCAACTTCTCTTCCCTTGTGTAAAGTAGCAGCAGAAAGTTCACAGTGAGGAATGTGAAGTGGCATAGGCACACCAAGAAAAGGAATCTGATGTTCACAGAAGATGCATAATAGTGCTGATCACGCTCATTTTGTAAATTGCTTTTCTAATCCCTCCATATTTCTCTATTCCATCAACCAAACTAACATCATTAATATTACTTAAGCTTTGAGAGGTGTAGATTTTCAGAGGCCATGGGTTTCCTACGAGAGTTTATTTTACAAAAGGTCTCCTCTTCTCTTTTCCATTATCCTGAAAACTAAAAAAAATCAAAAAACAACAGGCTGATTATGGCATTCCATCATATAAATATGAACAAGAGAGAAATACCTATCCATTGGTCTGGAGGTGTCTGCCCTTCCACTGCTCACCTTCCCATGGCATTTGAATGTACTGCAGTAATCACTTTTCAGTTTTTTCTCAGCTCTTGGAAGACAGCATGTCATGACCCAATGATTTTTTAAAAGGAATTGAAAAAGTAAGTCTGAATAGTTGTTTGAGAATAAATTACTCCAACATGAAATGAGCTCTTATTCACCAACACTTACAAATAGCTTAAGCAAAGATAAAATAATGTGTATCGTAATTAATATTTTAATTTGCTGAGAAAAGCTAAATAGTGATTACACCCCTTCCCTTCCCCCTTCCCCTGATAATAATGAACGAGGCAGTTTCAAGAGAGGCAGAGCAGCCAGGAGCTTAATGTCCTTGATTAAGAACATGTTTCCATGGTGGCTATTATGTCCCTCTTTAAAAGACGAAAACAAAACCGAGCCTTATTTCCTTTTAGAACTACAGGGTTTCTTCTGTCTTCATGAGACAGACAACAAGAAAATGTTTAGGGATAATTAAAGGCAATTAGGCTCATCAAGGCTCATTTCTGGTCTAGCTCCACTTCTCTTCCCTACAATGAGTACTAATTGCTGCTTCAACATACCAAGTAGCACGGATTACTTTTTTTTTTTTTGTGTGCTTCCACAACAAGACTATTTGGTCATTACCAGCTTTGACAGTGAGAATAAGTGACTCCTGATTAGCTTTTTGTTTGCTCTTTTAAAGATTTATACTACGTCCTATTGAATCTGATAACAGAGAATAACAAATTAGCACACAGCAATTGTGTACTACCTTCTGCTAGAGGATCTCCAAGTTCTTTTGAAACATTAATGAATTAATTCTCCATACTGTTGTGTGTAATGGGTATCATCATCATAACTTTGTACTGAACACAGACACAAAGAGGTTGGGTGGCACATTTAGTGCCACAGTCAACATGTTGTGATGTTGGTTTCCTGTTCATACACAATGGAACTATTGGTATTTGTTTGCCATAAACATGCCTCCTGTGTACCTTCTGTTACATCTGGGTTTGATTCATTGACAGTCAGGTAATTTAAGGTATTCAAATGCCTGAACTTCAAAGAAAGGTTTCCAGAGGGAAATTAATAAAAGGCAGATATCCAGAACTACATAAAGAAATATTCAAGTGCTTCTATATTAAGTGTTGCAGGAGAGGATGTTGGGGGGTTCAGTCATTGGAAGCAGAAAAGGTTCATCACCACAGCTCTAGGATTATGAATTCCTGACAGACCAGTCATGACTGCTCAGCTCCCACAGACCCCTCGTGTAAAACTGCAACCCACCTGCCCAACCCAACAGCTCTGCAGCCCTGGAAGCAGTTCATTGACACACACACACTCCATTTTTCCACTAGAAAGTGTCTTTCTTTACTGTTTCTAAGTCCAGAATAGCCAAAGAAGGAACTTGGAAGAATCACAGAATATTCTCGGTTGGGAGGGACCCTCAAGGATCATCACATGCATGACTTTAGGGTTTTGGACCTGCTTTCATGACTTTGAACATTTTTGCACATAAATCAACATTGACCAACAGCACCTCCTCCAGCCCTCAGAAAGGGCAGAGATTGCTTCATGGACAGCCCAGGACAGACTCAGCTGACACACTGACTGCACTGCTCTGGACACAGCAATTTGGTCACACATCACACATCCAGTACCTGGGAATGAAACAGGTGCCAAATCCCCACCAGTCTGGATCCACAAATCAGGCAGCTGCTTGATCTTCTCATCTTCTAGACCTGCCTAGGAAATACAAGCAATAGGTTAGGCTTCTCACAGACCAGGAGTGCTCATCCATCACATGTAAAACCTGGATACAATTCTCTGCCTTGAAGGTATTTAGGCTCACATGTCCAACCTCCCACCTCCCTTTTAAAAGTCATAAGGGGGAGGAAAACAGTTACTTAACTCTTGTTGCAAATGTTTTGTTTTGATAAACATTTAATAATTAAAAATAAAATAAGAGTACAGGCAACTCCATGAGCAATACCTTTGCCACTTGCAAACTGCCCGCAGTGCCACCCGTACCCTGTACACACAGGTCCCTCCAGGCAGCTCCAGTGGCACAGGAATTGCCTGTATCACCTGACTTTGTGTCTGTGAAAACCCACCCAACAGCAGGATCGTGCTGCTGCTTTGTTGTCTTTCACAAACACTGTTCACAACAGTTCTGCAGCTTTTAAGTGTTCCAATTCTTCCCTGCTCCCCAGTAACTCCAGACACAGGATTATTACTGACATTAGTTTAGCTACACCTACTTATGGTTTCTCTTGAACAACAACAAAGGAAACAATGTGGACACCAGGTGTTCTGCAAGTCTTTTAGCTGGTACCTTAATGTTCGTATGGAAATGGATTATACGCAGTTTAAATAGACATGGCATTACCACTTCCTGGGGTGAATTTCTTCAAGTTAAAGGGTTTATTCGGTGCAGAAAATGCTGCATTACAACAGACACAGTGCAGAGAAGCAGTTTGGCTGGGAATTTCAAGCAGTAAGCTGTGCTTTTGTACCACAAAAAAGTGAGGCTGAGAGCTGCAATCTCTGGCTCCAAGCACAGCTGTCTCTGCTGCTATTCATCAGTCTTTGCTCAAGGTAAATAAGAAAGACCATGAAAAATGTCTTGGCTGTGATCAGACCATTTCTCTCCTAATAATAAAAATGAACGATCTGCACAACCTTTGCTGGTTCAACCAAACCCAAGCAATAATTAAGTTGCTTAAATCAGAATGAATTTTCTACCCACTTACATCCCAGACCTCGGTGTACCTTCGTTCTTCCGGACAGTTTTATCTCCCCAAAGACATTAATATAACTTCAAATGGCCTCTGTCTGAGAAAAATGGCACAAACCTTGCTTTGCAGGTTTGCATATGAGAGTGTGGTATATTTACAACTCTCAATAAGGTGTGCTTCAGGATGAGAGCAGAATGATTTCCTTTTTCTCCGATGAACTTCAGTGTATTATACAGGTATTGTGAAAGCAAGAAGAACCCACTTGGCTTTTCTTAATAAAACAAGTATGATTTAATAAAAGAATATAACACCTCTTGAAATGGCCAGAGATGAGTAAGAGTGTTTGCCCCATTCCAATAAAAGAAATACTTCCCTCACTTCTCCCAAGCTGCTCCCATTCCCAGCCCATGCTCCTCCACACCAGCAGTGTCTTGGTGTAGCTGAAGGATCACTTTAGCAATCCTGGAGTAGCAGGATCCAGGCAGGTTTGTCCAGCAGATAGAGTCAGTCAGACTGGTGTTCTCTGGATGTGCTGCTGAGCTCTGCCCAGTTCACCCACTGCTTTGGAGGCATTTTCTAATAGAAGGTTTATGTTTTCTGATGATGACAACTTGAGGTCTCCTTTCACTATTCCAACTGCTACATAAGTGTAATTCTTTGGGGACAAATAATCAAGAATCCTATTACTTTTCTCCTATCCAGGAATTCATTCAAGGCTCGGATATTTTGATGTTTTTATACCCCCAGCCTTTCAGCCCCTGTATCACACCTCCAGCAAGGCACTGAGCATTCCCCCCAAGCTGCCTGTAAACATCAGGGCCTTTTATTCTATTACTTTGACATGGGGTCCCTGTGGAAGTTTATGGTGAGGCATTTTCAAGACTTACATCACATGAATCCACTATTCTAAGCATTCTTCCTTTCCCTTGCCTTTCTCACATGTCCAGATCAGTTTTGCCCTTGCTGGGCTGCCCGTGGGTGTTCCTGCAGGCAGGAGCCCGTGGCTGTCACATCCCCACAGCACTCACAGATCCAGCACAGTTTGGGCTGGGCACACTTGGTATCACCCTTAAAAACAAAACAAAACAAAACAAAACCACTTCATATTCTGCTTCCCAAAACAATTCTTTACGTAAATATGACCTTAGTACTTACGATGAAATGTATTTTTGACACCTCTCCAAAAACCTATGAAAGGGACAGGTAACATATTGCCACGCTGTAATTAAGGGTAGGCATCCATATTTTATTTAAAATGAATGGGGATTTTAGAATAAAGGCTACAGGACATCTGGTGCCTCTCACAGAAATCCCCCATACTGGGAGACAAAGCACATATTGATCTATCACCAGATGGAGGCAGTACAAAAAGGGGAAAAATTATAATACCTGGGGGAAAAGGTGCTTCAGATTTTTGCTTCTAGCTCCCAAGTAGGGTACCTCCACTTTTTATAATATGTTTTACCACACATTTTTTACTTTACCAATTAATATATTCTAGGGATGCAGAAGCTGGGCACAATATGAGTAGCTACACAGCAATACAGCAGGAGTGATTTACAGCATGTAATTTCTGTGAAACAAATTGGCACCTAACCTACAGTATCTATATTTTTATCTGTTTGAAGGAGATAACATTGTTTGTGAAGTACATCACACTTTTTATCTTGCTGTAACACAGATTTCCCTTGAAATGACTGGCTCTTGTATCACCTGTGAATGGATGGAAGAAATGGAAGAAACTTAGAATGAGAGCTTTATTCCTCACACATACAGCTTTAACTTGACTTCTCCTAGTGAAACAACTCTATTATTTATAAAAATAGTTCTTGAAGAGATCCCTAGCATTTTATTTTTAATTTGTCCATGATCAAAATCCAGATTATGCTCCATGATCATAATGTTGATTGCTGAAGTCACTCATATATTTCAATTGCAATTATTACTCAGTCACACATGAGTAATTACTGGGAGAATTTCCTTTAATCCCGAAACTTTTCTCTTCAGAGGCCCTTTCAGCCTTCAGCTTCTAACTCAGTTAAATGCTGAACTTCTATTCTGCCCCTCCTGTTCTTCCCTGACAGTTTTACTCCTGCTGTTGTTCTTATTGAGTGGACTGGTTTCAGGACACATTTGAGAACATTAACATCACAACGTGGAGAAGGTGATGAAAGTTATTAAAATGTAAATTCTGTTATGCAAGTATTTTTCCCTATTTTACTATAACGCCAATAAAGGGAAAAAAAAGGCCCAGAAATGTCAAATTTAATACCACCAAAATAAAATTAACAGAAACCAGCTGGAAAGACTTACGAATTTAGATTTTCTT